GCCTAAAATGATGCCCCAAACGCTTGGTCGCAGAACCAGTGAGCAGATACTAGGGTGATAGACCTCCAATACACGGAAACAACAAGAGGGCAGCTCTGTATCTCGTCCCTCGTCAACCACGACAAACATGTTCACCTATGAGCCGAACAAAGTTATGCGCGATTAACTGGCTTACCTTTAACCCGCATTGCAAAGATATTAGAACTGTGCAGCTGGGTCCCTGGGGAAGCATCACATAACTACGACCACCTTACAAAAACAAACATATGCACAAAGAGAAGTTAAAGACCTGCCTTTCGTGATCAACCCGACAGTTTCATTGACACTGACGTAAGCCAAGGATTGCCACCGGTCCAGACCAGACTTCTTGCGCAACAACACTGGAACCTTCCCTCCTGATGGTGCTAACGCACTACTGTCGTTAATGGGTGGTTTAAATCCACAAGTGCTGAAATAGTACTGTGTTCCGTTTGATTCGACACTAGTGAAGCTGGAAGAGAACATAGTATTTGGAACGAGGGAGGGAACATACAGAACTCCGGTGAGTTGTAGTAGGATTGAATCACCCTTGAGCGAATTACATTCATCAAGCAAGTGTGGTACACTACATGAAATATTTTGCATCCAAGTGGTTAGGTAAAGCAGACATAAAACGATGGACCGCATGTTGAACCAACTACCTGCGAAATGAAAATCAAGAACGAATCACCATCATCGACAACAACATAAAACAAAACTGGTGCGTCACTGCCATACACCCATGGCAAGTTATATGAATAAAGCCTCATGGTGGACAGGAGCTGTTAACTAGGGCTACTCGACCGAAGACATCCGGAATGCCTAAGCCTCCGGCGCTCAATCACAAAATCTAGAAAGAGACTGACAGCATGAACGCCAGTGACATCTGTTAAGCGACTATCATTCACCGTCTCCAGCTAAGCACGTGGACTCCAACCTAGGAAGCGCACAGTGCCAAAAGCACCCAAACGTTTGCAACACTCTTGGTGCCCTTCTGTTGCCACATTCAACCTAACTCTAGGCTTCCGTCAGTCAGATTGAGCACGGAAAACCATTCTGTGCAGGCCGTGACTCGGTACACGTAACGCATAACTCTACCACAGCTCACAGTGCTGGATATGTTTTTTGAAGAAAGTACCTTCTGCTTGAACAGAGGCCTGATAACTTCATTGGGAATTCGCTGATTCCATGTACCGGTAGTTGCATTAGCTCTCACGGAAGTTTGTCCAATAAAAGATTGCACGGATCTAAAAGACCGAAACCACGTTGCTGATTTACGCCACGAGTGCGCCCGCCACTTTCATCCTTTCCTCCATAATGGGGTCAATGTCGCACAGCAGTGAAGCATCAGTGTTTAATACTGGTGCCGTACTGTCGATGGTAATGTGTGGCCGGCTACAGTGAAAGCTGTATTGTTGTACTCTTCCTAAACATGGGCAATACAGACCGATGATCTAAGGCGTATTCAGGTTTGTCAACACTGGTGCCTCAAAAGCGCGGCCAGAGTCGGATAGCTTCAACAGATTCGTAAGCATTCAGTTGGAAGGCGGGTATTTGGTTATGCAGCAGGTGTCCATCCAGAACCATCAACTTTGGTGGCTCGGCCATGTGCCATGTATGCCAAAACAACTTCTACCAAGACTAGTGTTATTCTTCTTGCCTCGTCCATAAGTGCGGAAACTGCAAGGCAAATAACGTATGACTTGGCGGAATAGTTTGAAAGAGATGACGAAGCGTTTGGATGTTGCTGTTGCAGTAAATCTCCCAGGATCAGGTCCCTATGACAACTCTTGCACCCGCCCGGGGACAGTGCAAAGAATGGTGGCTGATCAGTGTTAGTGGTGGGCTTGTTGTAATTTTCTTTTCTGACTAAGCGCTTAGATGTGTGGGCACCCAATAATGCTCGTGACAAACCATCACCAGGTCCTCTCTCTCTCACCCACGCTTTTCTCTTCTTTGATTCTAAAGGTTGAATTATTATTGGATAACATTTGTGACTGTAGTGCATTAAAGGATCAGTGACAATGCCGACGTTTCTGTCTCCGACGATGATGCTTTTGAAACACAATATGCCCAGTTAGCAGCGGTGCAGGAATTTCTGCAGAATGTCTGCACCCGGATGCGGACGTTTTCGCAGTGTCCGCAGATTTCTGCAGCCAGGTGCGGACTGGGTGCGGAAACTTGTTTCATTTCCATAAATACTGCTACCAGCTCATTTACTAGATTTAATTTGGATGCTGAATCTGGAGAAACTTTCAAAAATTGGATCCAGAAATATGGGCGTCATGTTTCAAACCGAATTTGCTCAGTTTAATAGTGCATGGAAATTCGACTATTGCTGTGGAAACTGGGGACAGATGAACATGATCGATCCACAAATTCCATATTCCCCAAACTCCCTCATGATTTGGCTTTCGCAGATGATGTCAAGACACTGGCCCAAATATTCGGTGGGCAAAGTTTCTTATTCAATACTTGTCATCAGTACCTCAAGATTACAAAAAGAAATAGTGAAGATCCTATCAATTATGTTGGTGTGGTCAGCGAAGTACCACGACCGAGGATCAATGGCCGGCCTTTGATCACCATATGATGAAGATATTCGGGCCCAACTAAGTAGACTGATTAAATAGAATCCAAAGTTAACGCTTCAGAAACTTGCCACCGAGAGCCAGCATCTTATCAATCTCAAGGCTGACGCTGCAATTATTGGATATTTCAAATTCTCTCTGCCTGACATGGTGTGAAAAGTAAATTCTAATAGGCAATCAATTTCCAGAACCCCACGAAAACCGCTCACATCCCGTTGGTTTTTTTTTTGAAGAATAACATTATTCACGCCACTGATTCCACCGGAACCACAGGGTAAGCCAGCGCATTCGAAAGGGTCACAAAGAAGAATGGTGCAGGGACAACTTCAGGAGCTCACGCAGACACCGACCTTACAAAAGGACGCAGACAAGGGCTAATACCGCTACATTAAAAGTGGAATCACTCGATTGACAGAAATTCGTCACAGTATGCATCAATCGCCCACTGGTTACCCTCCAACATGATACAGGTCCTGACTTCCATTTGATTTCAAAGCAAACCTGAGACGCAATTTGAAGACCGCCAGTGGAACGCAGTGTGCATCGTCCGTAGTGAATCTGATGGAAACCGCAAACTGATCTGGAAGCCGAACTGTTTGGTAACGTTCAAAAGGATTCAACTCAATGGTACTTGTTACTTCACAAAATATACACGCCTTGATGCCTTGAGCCTGGATTGGGTAAATGAATTCGACACCTGGACCGACCCCTCAATGAACTTTGTAACGGAACAGCTGCAGATGGCTGCAATACGTCCACTAGAACGCCACATCCTGACGATTTTGTGGTTGCCACAGTTACAGCCAAACTGGGAAGCAGAGTGAGCCCACGTGACGCGGTAGCTTTTTAGTTCCTGGAGTCCGGCACCGAAAGCCCTGTCACTTCGGCAGATTTTTGTGAATCCTACAAGCAGCCCGCATCGTTTTACCCGCTGTCCAAGTCCTTCAGTTTACAGTCAAGGGTTCATGCAGATCATTCCACTGTTATCCGAAAAGCCAAGAGAGGGGGCCGGCGGAATGGTAGCCACAAAAGCCATTAGGAGGTCAGATACTGATCTGAGGATATGGGGAATGATCTCCACCGCGGACGCGGGGTCCAATATGTCCAACACATGGCAAAAATAAGATAATATAAGCACGGTCTAATCAAAGGAACCAACTTCAGACAGCAGACTGCAGCTCCGCAAGGAGATCACGTCGTATGGGACATCAGACAGCCGCAACATGCCTCCGAAGTGCAGGGTACTGAGTCCCAGATCAGCATGCTCGCAGCCCCAGGGACGGAGAGAGATGCGACAGCACCGAAAGGGTCGTCACGGTTGATTTTAGATAAGGGGTTGGTTGAACAGCCTTCTCAAGGACGAGGTGTCCGGAGGTAGGCTATCAGTAATAATCGAGCATCACATCACTTGGATATGTAGGCCACGGACCAAACGAGGCCACGCCCTGATTGGACAGCATGCCAGCCAGTCTGGATCAAGCATTTTAAGCTCGACGCTCCTCTCCCCCTCACGGAGGTTCCGGCATGACCTTGTGAAACATTTTGTGAGTACCCTATTAATGCAGTTATAGTAATCTTTATTTGTCTCCATAAGGGGCTGTCTGGAGCTACCGCGCCTTTTGATATACCACATTGGGTAGAGCAGGAAACCAGAGACGAATAGATTTGCACGACCTTTCAGCAAGTCACAACACCATGCCACTGCTCATATTCTCCATCTCCCATTTGGGTACAGAATTTTGCACAAACTCAATAGAAAGTATATCTCTCGGCGTCAGAACTGCGTCAGAACTGGATCATATGGCAACGCTACACATACGCTCCGATTTCATGTCAAGATGCATTAAGCTCGGTTGGCCGGAATAACCACGCACCCCAAATAATAATAATAATAACAATGTTTATTCCCAACTTGTTGGTGGCATACCGTGTGGCACGATCATATGTTCGCAGTGAGAATGAAGCATGACTGGGGGGTTTGTGGGGGTTCGGATTTCACGAAAAGTGGACAGTGTCATAAAGCGTGGGGAATATACGATGAAAAAGTAATAATGGGTTTCTTTCGAAACTTGCTGGGGAAAATGGCCGTGAGGTCAAACTAGTTCAAAGACATGAACTAAAGCTAAAAGCCATTGCTGGCCTTGAGTGACCTTGGGTGGTTGGGTAAATGGTCGTAGTCACAGCGAGCAAAGGTGGCCGGCGGCTAGACGCACACCCAAAATTTTTCTGAAACCGTTGTTCAAAGGAGGAAAACTTTAGCATAAAGTTTTAACATTGGATGGTAATTTTTTGGGCGTATGAGATCTTACCAAACGGCCGCAGTTTCGTTGAACGTTGTTCAAAACTACTCAATCCCCACGATATTCATGGCCTGCGATATTCATATTTTAAATGGCTGCTATGGCTGAGCACGTGAATGCGGAGGATGATTTTGTTGTGTTGTTCTGTATAAACTCCAAAAAGAGCAGTAATTTGCTACTTTTGTATGAAAAAGCCTCCTACCGTTGCAGCAGACATCCCTGCAGACGAAGCAGGAGCCGTGGAATTCGTCGCACCTAGTAAGTTAATGGCTGACTGTGTATACGTTGTAGCACACGTCATACTGATTGTCCGGCAAGGTTCCACGTTCGCCGGTACCATGACTGCTTGAGGGTTACTTCCTACTACCTGGAGCCCAACCATCCACGCAGCAAGTTTATTTTTGACAGGCTCCCCATCAACCGGCGACTGACAAATGATGAATTAAGGGAGTGTTCTGTTTTGATATACGGTGCTCCGTCATCGGAGATTCGACAGTACGTCACCGACCACTTTGGAAAGGTACTCACTATCAAGGATGTGCGTAACTATCGCGTCAAGTGTCGACCACCATTGTTAAGTAGGTCGTTGGTTACCTCTGAGTTGGTTTCTTAGATGACATGTCGTCCATCATAGCTAAGTTTCAAGAGTGCAGTCGCGTGCTGCTGGTGGAATCGGAGGGTGGCAGATATAGTCACCTGTGCTTTTCTTGAACGCAGCAGATAGCACTCTTTAGACGTTTCCCGGACGTTGTAAACGTTGATGCTACACACGGTACTAACCGTCCTGGGTAAATAAATTTCGAGCCACTGACGTTTGCTGTTAAGTTACAAGCTTTATACATTCCTTGTGACAGATGGCATGGGGATCGGTCGACCCGTAATGTATGCCTTTGTCGAAAGCGAGCATTTTGCGCCATTGCGCAAGCTGTTCAGCTTGTTCAAGGATATGATGGGTGGACAATATGCAGTCAAAACGTTCGTCATGGACAAAATGACTTCACAGATGCGGGCTGCCAAAGCTGTATTTGGCTGCGACGTAATGCTGTGCTATTTTCACGCACGGCAAGCCATCCGGAAGCACGTATGTTTCATAGCTTTGGTGTAACTTTTGCAGACAATTTCCAACCACAGTCGACACATATTCCACCGCATGGCCCGCTTTGATAATGCAGCTGAGTAAGTGACTGTGCACCAAACACTAATCCCGTAGATTTCGCCACGATTTGCAAATCTTGAGGCGAACAGATCCTAGTTTTGTCTCTTATTTGACTGCCCACTGGCTCCATATCACTCGAAAGTGGGCCATTCATGCACAACGTGGGTTGGTACATTTTGGGAATGTGACCAACAACCGCCTGGAGAACGCCAACGGGCGTTTGAAGAGGCGCGTGCATCACTCAGATAGCCTAGAGCATGCCGTTCTGAAGGTCGCTCATCACAGCGAATGGCTAATGCGGGAATATGAAATGCACACCACTTATTGTTGTGACCGTCGAGAAATTCGGGAGGGAGATATCTACGTTCTACGTGTGGTTTCCCGGATGACGACATACGCCGCTAATCAGGTTCTCAGGCACATTGGAATATGCACGCCAAATCTGCTATACAAGCAGACAGATCGCTTCAAGGTGAGAAGCCCGTTGTTAGTAACAGTCAGTTTGTGGTACAAACCCCCAAATGTTCTCAGACAGTAAACACCTCGGCCGGAACCTGCACGTGCATATTTTACCAATCAATGTGGCTGCCTTGTGTACACCTATTTTCAGTATTCAGAGGCCACTCGTTCCCATGCGGTAAGTTGATTGATCGAACATGCAGTGTCTAGGTCAATTTCCAATCCATCAAAGGTGGCTTGCCGAATATAACCTACCGGAGGAAGGAGTACCTTTATCTCTGGTTCCAAAGCCAGATCCATCACCAATAGAGCATTTGCACAAGCAGCTTGATCGGTTGGTTGGCAAACTGAAGCTGCTGGATCCGCGTAAGGCTGCTGGGTGCATGAAGCGTCTGATTGTCCAAAGCCAGCTGATGTTGCGTCAAAATGCAATTAGTGCACAGGACAACCAGCCTCTGGTGTTAGATGGCAACCGCAAACAACCACGGTGGCGTTCGACGTCAAACGACGCTGTTCCCTGTGGTCTCTGTGGCCAGCCAACTGACCCTGCTGATTGGTGGTGTCAACGTGATCGACTTCCATATCACCGTTATTGCTGCGGCAATGAGCCCTGCCCGCTGTGTGGAGAAAATCTTCAGGCGCGTCCACCAAGTGAGTGCACATGTATAAATTAAGCTATTCCCATTAGTTGCCGGTCAGTCTACCTACCGTTCAGCTAAAAGAGCTTGCTTTGATGTTGATCTTGATCGGTCCATGGAGGACAAGCCGAGTGTGCCCCGTAAGACAGTCGCAATCAAACTGTTTTGTCCAATTTCGGAGTTGATGGAGACCGGTAATTTGAGGCCTAATTTTTTAGCATACGCTTTGCAGACCTCGCTTTCGAATCCCGTGATGACGAGGAATTCGTGTGATTGTAACTCGAAGGCCCCAAATGCCGATTCAATGAACCCATGGCAATCCGCAACGACTATACATTTATCCCTCATCACGGTAATGGGAATTATGAACCACTAGGTAAGCAAACAAATAAAATTCCATTACATCCAGATGCTTAAGTGCTGTTCCAGAAGGTTAATTGCTTGCCCATTTTCCGTTTCAGAATCCTTGTCCCGTGAAGTGGATCTTAAGAACATGAAAAATGGAGCGACTACCAATTAAGCTTGTATCAGTGATGCCAATGAATAAAATGCAATTCGCCAATGGGGTTTTCGTAAATTCATGGTGGGCGCATTATCAACGCGTGGAGTTATGAGTGTGGAGCGCCGTCATTGGCCATTTTATCACGTTGTCGTGCATATGTGAGGCTCCCTAATCTGCGTCCAGAATATCAGTTACGCTCAGTAGCCGAGGTGAGCGGCAGCTCATTGTTTCGGGTACTGGAGGGAGTGGTCGAGGGGGTACAATCAAGAGCAGAATTTGGGAGCGCGCTATCAAAATGGGTGGTGATTGCAGTTTGACAGGTGATGACCACCAATGATCGTTGGGTTAGTCGATTATGTGTTGCCGGGACATTATGGTTAGCTACGAGCATGTGTGCGGGCCTGGCAGTTACTATAGTCAGTCACGTAGCTTACGTCGACTACAGTTGCGATGTTTGCTGGGGGTACCAAACATAAACGGCATCGAGTAAGTGTGAGTATGACGATAAATAGCCAAGTTAGGTGGCTTCGAGTACAGTTGTGAGTATAACAGGCTGTCAGATTATGCTATCACCCATTGTTGAGTCCTTGTTTTTACTGGTCGGCGTATACACTGGATTGATGTCAACTGTAGGTAGCGAAGATAAGCGGCATCTCGTATAGTATGAAAGACCGTCAGTTTTATACTAAGCGTTGCACATAGACTCAGGTGTTGCGATTACGATAAGCAGTCAAGGTAGGCGATATCAACTTCAGTTACGGGTATGACGGGCAGCCGTTGGACATTAAGATATCACGCATAGTTGGAACCTGGTTTCTATCGGCCCGCATAGATACTGGCTTGGTGATTACTGTAAGTAGCAGGCAGGTACGACAGTGAACATCAGTGTTTAACACTGATTTCATGATCTCCATGATGATATAAGCAGCAGGCATAAGCGAGAGCGCGCACACTTATGGGTATGGCGGGTAACCGTTGGCAGTTAAATCAGGACACTTCGCATAGCCGAGGCCTACTAAACAGCATCGTATATAGGCACTGGCCTAGCACTTTCAATAAGTAGACAAGGTAGGCGATATCGCGTACGGTTTTGAGTATTAGATTAATCGGTCGCCATTAGATTAGGTATGTATGTACAAGGACACTGACTCAACAGGTACGATCAATAGCCAAGTTAGATGACCTCGAGTACAGTTGTGTGCATAGCAGGCTGTCAGATGTGGCTATCACGCATAGCTGAGGCCTTATTTTTACCGGCATATAAGTTGCACTGATGTTTACTGCAGCTAGCGAAGACAAGCGGGATCGCGTATAGTTGACGGTATGCAAGACCGTCATCGACCGTCGGATTATGTTACTGTCCATAGGTGCGGCCTCATTATCAACGTTGCACATAAACGCCGGCCTAGCACTTACAACAGGTATTCGAGATGAGTGAAAACTAGTAGCGATACGAGTACAAGGGGCCGTCGTTGCTCATTGGATTGGGCTGCCGCGCACATGTGGGGAACCTTAATTAGCGTCGCACATAGACACGGATCCAGCAGCTACAATAGGTAGTCGAGATGAGTGACAACGGCTACCGTCATCGTGGTGACTGCTTTATGGTTGGTGGGAAAGACGCCCACAGCATTCTGGTAACACTGTATTACCTACAAGCTGGTCATGTATATCTGGGAAAGGAAGTCATCCACAGATGTCCCTCGCTTTGCCACTGCAAGTTTGTGCTGTCATCTAACTTTGTTGTACTTAATAGAACGGGAGATCCGTGAGGAAAATGTGTTGTGAGCAGGTTCACCGAACAAAAATATCCAATCTGTTAAATGTCGGGTATCTTAGGCAAACAAACGCCTGCGACTGATCCTATAGGGTGGCCTTTGCATAAAATACTCTTAAGATGTTATTTTATTATTCAGGAACACCGAAGAACGCCAAAATATGCTAAAGTGCGATTTCGTGTTCTATGTCGCGTAAACCGGCAAAAAATCCAAATCGGCGATGGTCGATGACCTTGACATTTCGCTCACGCAAACAAAATGCTGCGTGCAACATGTCACGGGAAGGTGCTAATTGGTTAGACTAACTTCCCATTAAAATAGCAACTTCGAAAACCCTATAGTTTCGGCGAAATCAATTTGGTTGTGTCAATAGCTGCGGCGCAAAAGTGGAGATGGGGATGATATAATTCGAATTGGGAGCATATGGCGGGTTTTGCCTCGAAACTGTGGTTTAATCTGAGACCAAGCATACTCACAGATTGCACTGTTATAGGGGAGTCAGGTGCATGGGATAGGTTGGATGGGGACAAGGCGCCAATATATAGGGCGACCCGAACACCGTATACGGATTTGATCTTGTGGAGGAGGCAAGCCGAAATTGTAGCAACAGAACCGGGTCAGCCATAGTTGAGCGAAAATTCATTCTGAAGAAGCTAGTCGCGGAAGTACCATCTCATTGGGTATGACAGTGCCATGCACTGACATGCTTCGGTTTATGGACAGTCCCGTAACGGTCGTCAAGGGTGCCGCGATCGGAGAACGGATTCGCAGTTCCATGGCAGCTGGTTCTGGATGAGACAGAGATTGACACAGCCAGGCGGATGCAGGCTCATGGATAATTTCCCTTTCTTTGAAGGACCTTGTGAGTGTAGACCGAAGACAAGTCAATTGAACGAATCAGAGTTCCACGGAAAGTTTGGGCAATTGCAGTCAATGTTTGAAGCTTGGGAAAAGGGGGGACGAGAAATAGAGTGAAATCAGTAGTGTGGTGAGTGCCGGGAGTCATAAGATACAACGGTGTCAATAGAAAAAAATCTAAAAGGGGATGGCAGCAAGCTGGATGGATCTAGAAGCCAATTACTAGTTGGGCCAGAGTAGATGGCTAGTTTTGGGAAGGTGAGAACTTTATCGTTGAGGTAGCTAGCGAGGAGGCTACCTGTTTGTCTATTTGAAAGCGGACGGCAGTTTTGGCTCACCAAAGCATCATGACATAGGGTCCTGGTTGTGCAGAAAGGGGGGTTAATAGGCGCTTGATATGCGTGCGCTGCGTGTGTTCAGGTGTATGCATAGTGGTTAAAAACAGTGAGGAACTTAGGCTCCAGTCTGGCTGAGGTTAGCTAAATACAGTCAAAGCAAAGCACCAGACATTAAATAAAGCTGACAGAGTTACTCAGGGATGGGGCCAGGTTTCAAGAACTTGGAATAATTTGGCTGGGTACAAAAGCTTAAGGCCGGAGGAAGGAACTACAACCTGGTCAGTGGAGACGGGCTTGACGAAAATTACGGTGGCAGGCGCTCGACGTTCTCTGCAACTCAACTACTCTTTAGAGAGGGGAAGACGTAGTTGCAGGAAGTGAACGCCTGCTTAAGAGATAGATAAGGTGGTAAGTTATGGACAAGAAAACTTGGGAGGGTGTTTGTCGCACTTGTGGGTTAATGCTAAGGGCTCCAGGCTGGTGCGTTTGGATGCTAGGTCCTAGTAACAGGATAGTCAGTGCTAGTGTGCAGATTAGAAGAGCTTAGGGCCTATTTCAAAAAGTGTCTAATGTAAGCTGAGGCGCGAAAAGGCACTCAGCTCCCTCTATAGAAAGGTAAGAATCGATAGTATTTCGAAAGCCTACGTGAGATGAGATAGTACGGATATGGGTGTGGAGCTTGTCCCATAGTTTGGAATACAGGTAAAGGAAAAGGTTCTGTCTAAAGACAGTTCGATATATCGACAATGGGAGTAAACATACAGAGTTACGGATAGTATAGGGATTACATGAAGAAAATTTAGAGCAGCAGTCAGCTAGGTAAGCCCGCCGGTAGGTTAGGGGATGCAGAAGGCTTAGCTTTAACCTGATGCGCCTTAGCCATAATGGATATGGCCCGAGTAACAAGTTGTTTGCAAGAGGAAGAGATCAACTTGAAATAACATCTGGAAGGTCGTTGGCGTAGAACAGAAAGAGAAATGTTCTCAAACCAAAGTCTTGAGGAGATCCGGTATGGACCAGTGCCGAAGAAGAGTATGTCGAGCCTACCCTCTCTCCGGAGATCGTTTCTGATAAGAATGCCTCAATCGTGTGCAGAATCACCCTTGAACTCCGAATGATTCCAGTTTGTGGAGCACCTGGATGCGAGGTACTCAATCGGGTGCTTTTGAGAAGCGGAAAACTATGGCATCCGGTGTATGTAATCCTCCCGATCCAGGGTTCAGCCTCATATAAATATAAGCATTGTTCGGGTGGAATTCGTTTTAAACTGGGATAATCAATTCGTTGGTAATAGAGGGATCCGAGTATATCGCTTTAGAATGCGTTCTATCGCCTTGCATGCAACGCTGTAGCTGACGAGCCATAGTAGGTAGCAAGTTTTGTAGAATGGCGTAAAATTCACTCCCCTCAAGTAGGGGAAGTGGTATCGTGTTCGGCAGTTCAACATCGCGTATCTTGTTGAACAGATTAGGGCAGTTAGTGAATTATTACCTCAAAACCATATCTGCTGCGTCCGAAGTTGCGCAATTGAGAGGTTTTCCACCGGAGAGGTTAGCAGATTTGATAGTTAAGGGCGTGTTTTAGTCCAGAGTCTCGAGGTTACCTTTGCGTTGAACTTGTCTGATTGCTGTCGTTTTTCATCCGAGAAGTGCTCTTTGAGATTAGGACGGTTTTCGTCCTTTGAGTGTCCGGTTTGTGCAAGGCTTTTGAATAAAAAATATCGTTCAGCTGTAGCACTCTTGTGGCACCCAAACGCCAGACATCCAGTAGAAAGCACGAGTGTTTGGAGTCCTCCAAGCTGCTCAAGCCTAGATGGGAGGAGTCAAGTGACAAAGGTCGGATTCAAACTAAAAAACTTCACGGATTCACGGATTGA